GTTTTGAAGTTTGAATTTATATAAAATTTTGTACCTGTAATGTTGAAAGCAATGAATGTGTTTGTTTTAAAATGACTTCAATAATAAAAATTGCTTAACCCTTCGCTAAGACAGTGAGCAGTTTTATCCTATAAAAAGGAGAATACATATTTAAATATAAAAAAAAAATGGACTTGTTAAAAGTCCCAACTTGACATATATTAATATCAAAAAATTACTTAACCCTGTTAATTTCATTCAATATCCATTAAGGAGGTCAGATGCATTTGATAAAAATTACTCCTGTGTTTAAAAAGATTTAAATGTGTTAGGGACATTTAACTAATTGTATTGCTAGGTGTAAGTTAGTTAAAATGAGTGAAAAAATTAACTAATAACATGATATGTGGGCGAAAATGAGTGAAAAAATAAATGAAAGAAACTCGTACTTAAGATGCACCCGAGGAAAATTTCATCTATAGAGGGAAAATAAAACATACATTAAATTTTTAGACAAATATCAAGTGTTGCCTATATGCATATGTATATATGTGTGTGTCCAGCATCAGAGCTCATATGAGAAAATGTTGCTTATATGTAAAATAAGAGGAAGTATTAGATTGTAACTTTTGCATGTTAAAGGAGAAAACCTGCGTATCATATCATGAACCAGTTATAAAATAAGAATAAGCTTAACCACAAAATTCAACTAATAAGAAAATGCACTAACTTAATCACTAATGATTTTGGGTTTTCACTTTCAGATACAATTGAATTAAATACTTAGTTGAGAGAGCTTAATTCGACACAATTATAATATTACCTGGCTTGACTTCAGTAAATGGGGTCAAATGTGATTTTTGTATATCTAATTGATTTGGTTAAAAAATATTAAAACCTTGGTGGGTTGAAGATCTCTCTTGTCATTTTTTAAAACTGATTATTAACATGATTGGTGATTTGCATGGTACTAAGTTTAGATCGCATAATTCTCCACATGATTGATCCATTAATTGTGGTAAATATTAAAGTTTTGTTCGTGGAATTCATCACAGGAATACCATGGAATTTAGTGGCTCCAAAAATCTATACAAAAAATTAATTAATTCAAGGCATCGGATCAAGTCCAGTGACCAATCAGACATCGGATTGAGTATAAATTGATTACTCTCCTTCGCTCCTAACTATGAAGCTTCTTATTATTTTGAGAGTTTTTGATTTGATTTGAAGGAGTATGATATGAAGTTTAATTTCATCTTATTCTTACGTGAAAAAGTCACACATTTTCTACATATTAACTAAAAATAACTATTTTACTATTTTTTATCACAATCTATAAATCTACAAATTAATTAAAAGGACAATATTTTTTTTTTGCCAACAATTAAAAGGACAATATATCTATGACATAAGAGAATATTAGTTATATTCATTTCACGTCCTCTTATACTTTGCTTCATCACTTAGCAATTCAAAATTTTCTTTTTTCAATTGAATAGGGGGATCATGCTTAGGTACACATTAATCGTATAATATAAGCCAGCTTGCTATTCACTTGGGAATAATACAAATTTTTAACCCTATTGACCTATATTTTTACTTTTACCTTTGCAGAGAACTGACACCCACAAATTCTTATCCATATTTATTAGGAAAAATTATTATAAATTCTTAAGTAAAAGTCTTATTGATAACATGAGCAATATGTGGTGATAAGTTTTTGAATAATGAATAATATCTGCTCATTTGTCATTAAGATTTGTTGGTAATTATTTTTTTCTTGAGATTTTATTGTAATTCTCCCTATTTATTAAACTCACATTAACCAATATGCGGTTAAAATAAAAAAATTTCTTAAAATTACCGCATGTTTTATATTTTATTTTATTTTTGCTAGGCACAAGTACTCTGTCATTAGAAACAATCTTATATATTAAATATAGACATTTCTTATGTGTGAGAATTCTGATGTCTCTTATATTTTAAACCAACAGTAATTTAAACAAAATGTCATACATATATACACGCACTGTGAACCAAAAGGAGTATATATTTTTATTGATATAGTCACGATAGTTTTATTAAAAACATATAGTTTCCATCCTTAAAATTTGTTTTAAAGGATGGAAGAGTGAAGGATTCCATCCTTGAGATTTTCATTTAAGACACAAACCGTCTTTGCCACTTTTTCTCGTGTATGGAGCAGAAATTTGCATTAAAAGCCAACCTAGGCCCCTCCCCTGAAGGACAAAGGACACCCCCCTCACTTCCCTCTTTGCCTAAAGTTCCGACACAATTTTAAATCAAGACATGAACAACCACACCAAAATGCCCGATCCTTTTAACAATTCACATATTTTTTCTTGACACTTGTGGCCTATATATGTAATTTCACCAAACAAAGTTACTATCTTAGGTCCTTTTCTTAAGCATTGGAATGTACGTAGCACATGTGTCCAGCCATAAACATGACAGTTCAAAGCAAAGTTATAAGCTAGCTACTATATCCATATTGTAGAGTCCCTCTTGCAAGACTCCCTCGGCTGGCCCCTCCTGTAATACTCAAAGACAGAATTTTAAATGACTCTTACCAAAAGCAACCTACCGACCTATTCCCACACCCACCATTCTCTCTCTCTCTATGTATCAGTCACTGTCTCTAATACCTTACCCGTTTGTCTCTCTGTCTGTTCCTGTGAAACTTCGTTATCTGGGTAGTTCCTTTTTCCATTTTTCTTTCTACCATTTCTCTCTGATCTCATTCTGCTTTACACCATACCCCTCCATTAATATTTTAGGGGAAATTTCACTGTAGGACCGCAGAAGGCAAATAATTTCAAAGAGCCCCCAAAACTTTCTGAAACCTCACTGCAGGACCAAGGGACCAATCTGATATTAATTTTTAGAGTGAGATTACAATAATACCCCTCCCTTTTTATTTTATTAAAAAATAAATATTTACCGGAGTTACTGTTCCGGCCACCGGAGGTCGGAGGTCCGGCCACCGGCGCTCAGGTGGCCGCTGTCGGGGTCCGGTCACCGGTGGCCGGAACAGTAACTCCGACGGGACCTCCGGTGGCCGGAGTTTTTTTTGTTTAAAACAAAGTGGCCAAGGGAGGGTTTGAACCCAGGACCCCTTGGCACACCAAAAGACTTGTAACCACCAAGCCAAGCAACCCATTCAATCATAAAATGCAAATAAAACTACATATAACAAAATAAACGCAACAGTCCAAATGTAAGTAAACAAATGAAATTAGACGATTTACAAGTGAAATTCAGAAATTTGCAACAAAAGTTAGGCAATTTACAAATAACATAATAGAAGTCATAACCCAAAATGCAAGTGTTTAGGTGCAAATGAACAAGTAAAATTTGAAGATTTACAATAAAAGTTTATGGATTTACAACCCAAATTTGGCAAATACAAGAGAATTCACAACCTAAAATGTAAGTGTTTGAATGTAAGTGAACAAGTGAAATTAGACGATTTACAAGTGTAATTCAGCAATTTACAACAAAAATTAGACAATTTACAAATAACATAATAGAAGTCATAACCCAAATGCAAGTGTTTAAGTGCAAATGAGCAAGTGAAATTTGAAGATTTACAATAAAAGTTTATGGATTTACAACCCAAATTTGGCAAACACAAGAAAATTCACAACCCAAAATGTAAGTGTTTGAGTGTAAGTGAACAAGTGAAATTAGACGATTTACAAGTGTAATTCAGCAATTTACAACAAAAATTAGACAATTTACAAATAACATAATAGAAGTCATAACCCCAAATGCAAGTGTTTAAGTGCAAATGAGCAAGTGAAATTTGAAGATTTACAATAAAATTTTATGAATTTACAACCCAAATTTGGTAAACACAAGAGAATTCACAACCCAAAATGTAAGTGTTTGAGTGTAAGTGAACAAGTGAAATTAGACGATTTACAAGTGGAATTTAGAAATTTACAACAACAATTAGGCAATTTACAAATAACATAATAGAAGTCATAACCCCAAATGCAAGTGTTTAAGTGCAAATGAACAAGTGAAATTGTCGAATTTCACTTGTAACTCTATAAACTTTTGTTGTAAATCTTCAAATTTTATTTGCTCATTTACACTTAAACACTTGTATTTGGGATTATGAGTTCCATTATGTTATTTGTAAATTGCCTAATTTTTGTTGTAAATTGCTGAATTCCACTTGTAAATCATCTAATTTCACTTGCTCACTTACACTCAAACACTTACATTTTGGGTTGTGAATTCTCTTGTGTTTATCAAATTTGGGTTGTAAATCCATAAACTTTTATTGTAAATCTTCAAATTTTACTTGCTCATTTGCACTTAAACACTTGCATTTTGGGTTATGACTTCTATTATGTTATTTGTAAATTGCCTAACTTTTGTTGCAAATTTCTGAATTTCACTTGTAAATCGTCTAATTTCACTTGTTTACTTACATTTGGACTGTTGCGTTTATTTTGTTATATGTAGTTTTATTTGCATTTTATGATTGAATGGGTTGCTTGGCTTGGTGGTTACAAGTCTTTTGGTGTGCCAAGGGGTCCTGGGTTCAAACCCTCCCTTGGCCACTTTGTTTTAAACAAAAAAACTCCGGCCACCGGAGGTCCCGCCGGAGTTACTGTTCCGGCCACCGGTGACCGGACCCCGACGGCGGCCACCTGAGCGCCGGTGGCCGGACCTCCGACCTCCGGTGGCCGGAACAGTAACTCCGGTAAATATTTATTTTTTAATAAAATAAAAAGGGAGGGGTATTATTGTAATCTCACTCTAAAAATTAATATCAAATTGGTCCCTTGGTCCTGCAGTGAGGTTTCAGAAAGTTTTGGGGGCTCTTTGATATTAATTGTCTTCTGCGGTCCTACAGTGAAATTTTCCCTTAATTTTACCCCACCTTTCACTCTCCCTGATCTCTTTCCTCTCTTTCTTTCTCTCCACGTCTCGCACGCCCTCTCTCTCTTTCTCCATCTCTTTTTATACCCGCCCACGCTCACACACACACTTGCTACATCGAAGAGAGAAAGAAAGAAGCACAACTCTCTCTTAGAAAGATACCTCAATCTTCTCAAAAACTTATCATTATTGTTACTTCCTTTTCTGCTCCGGCTGCCATGGAAGTAAGTCTCTCTCCCTCTCCCTCTCTGGTTTCTTTCTGCCCTGCGCCTCTCGTGCTCTTGCGAACAATTCTGTTGTCTTCTTTGTGATTTTGAAGGTTTTGATTTCTGGGTTTGGTTTTTGTTAGGACAATTACTTCTACAAGAGGACGCATGTTCCTGCATTTGGAAGCTGGGATTGGGATGAGAGCCTTCAATTCACACAGTGCTTTGAGTCTGCGAGACAAGCTGGGTTGACGCGAAACAGTTACTCTGATGACTCTGAGGAGCGTGACTTGTACGTTGCTGGAGATCTGTATGAGAATGACGTTGTTATCCCCGCCATGATCGTCGTTCCTCGCAGAAGGGTATGTTCCTATTCCTCTAAATATTCAAACTGAGAACAAAACTCATTGTTCTTCCTATTCAGATCCTTTGTTTACATGTTGGGTCTCTCTGGTTTGGTTTTGTTCAGTCTACAATTGCTCATTTTGAGTTATTTTTTTCTCGTTTTCTTTTTCCCTCTGTCGCCCTGTTTATTTTCATGTGCTTGTGTCTGAACCATGGACAAGGGTCTGTCATTTTTGTCTGAATTCTACAGTGAAATTGAAAAGTGGTTTTTTTCTCTCGTTCAGACCTCAATATTTTATTACAATTGTGGCAGAAGGTCTCGTCTTTAGACAAAACTCACTTGAAATCAGTGAATTAATATAATGACTCTTATGACTTTAGTTGGCGTGAAGTTCACATTGCTGTTTGCATAGATCTCTGGACTACGGTATTACTATCCTCAATCCTCAAATGTTAAAATATTTAAATTAAGTAACAGTTTTTTCCACCATGAGTTTGAAACACGGCACTCCATGGTCGAGGTAAACTTTTTTTTTTTTTAATTTTCAAAGATCATGGGTGATACAAAATGTTCACTTTAGTCTGTGTTACTGGTTAGTGTATGGTAGTAGGTGCATCTCTGAAGGTGGGGCCTGTCCAGAGATGACTTCCATGAGTCACGCACCAAAGCGTGATGATTTTAATAACACATAAAAGCTTGTTCACGAGGATACATACTGCTACTAGCTTGGTTCTCTTGAAGAATCCTCGACAAGTTCTTTTAAAATAAATTATCTTTCGTCATAATCAATGATCTCTTTCGTGTCACTAACTTGTTAAACAAACAAAAAAGGGACTTGCACTATAAATTTCACTTTTGGCTTTATCGTCCCTGTCAAGGGTCAGTGGGTCACTAAATAAAGTAAACGATTTTAAGATCGTGGGATCTACTGGTATCATCATGTAATATAAAGATAAAAGAGGTCTTGGAAGGAATCATAATTCATAAACTTGAGAATATTATTATGTTTCTGACTTTTTGATGCTGCAAAGCCTCAAACGTTATCAGCTTTTGTACCATTCTTGATCCCGTTAATCTCGTCATCAATAATTTTCTCGCCTTCTGTATTGTTGTCTATCAGTAAACGGTAATATCAGTCAAGTAAACGATCATGATGATATGTTATTGAAGAGTTATTGTGGACTTTACAGACGAAGGCGCGTAAACAGAATGAAAAGGAAGGGAAAAAGCAGAATTGGGTTAGTGAAGTGAAGGAGCCATCATCAAGAAGCCCTAGTGCTGCAGAACCAACTATGAAAAAGGCAACCCCAAAACCTGTGGACGAAGACCTCTATAAGATATCACCAGAGCTACTTTATGCAAAAACCAGAAAGGTCTGTAAAACACTACTTCCTCTTTTGCTTACTGAAAAAAAAAAAACCTGAATATTTCATGCAGCTTTAGACTAGAAGGAAGTCTTTATTTCCATTTTTCCCCCTCTTTCTGATCACTTTCTTGCAGCTTTAGAAAAAGTTTCTTCGTTTCTTTTGCTCATTTGCTTTTCATTCTGTTGGTGCAGAAGAGAGGGTTGGGCTTCTTTTCCAGCTGCTTGATGCCGACTTGCTCCGTCTGAACCATTAGATTATTATTAAAGTAACTGTGAACTCCGAGAGAAAGAGAGAGACTATGAGGATGAAGATTTTTTTGTCTGGTTTATGAGCTTTTAAAGTTTAAACCCTAATATGCCTATGTACAGAGAGAGAGAGAAGCAGATGATTAGGGAAGCGTCTTCTTGGGCTTTTGAGTTTGATGTTACTATGAAGGGTTTGGCTTCAGGTTAACATTATTATATTATCGTAGTGTATTTTGTTTGGGTTTTATCAGAAGGTTGAATCATTTTGGGTTTAGTAGTACTGAACTTTTTTATGTGAATGTGAAAAGGCTGTGTAAAGTGAAAGCAAAGGGACAAATGTTCAACTTACATGAGTATATTCCTTCCTCAAACTGCTTTAGTTGGTACGAGCATTATCATGACTGATGATTGGGTTTGATGAATTGATTCCAGGCCATTTCACTATGTTCTTCTGTTACTTTTATGAATCTGCTAATCATAATTTGGAATTTTGTGTAAATAACTATTTACTAGTAATTGGCAATTAACAAAATATCCCCCTTAAGCCTTTTATTTTTTTGAATATCTATTTTCTATCTTTTGAAAAATGTAGAGTTGACTGAGAAATTGACTAGAAAGCTTGCAAAGCCATATTTCAAATCTATAATGAAGATGTTTTTTAATATATTTTTCGGTCTATAATATAAGATTTATTTAACTAATTTGATCAGATTAAGGAAGTTAGATTGGTTAGTTAATCATAAAAAAATGATATTTTTCTTAAAACATCATAATTATTTTTCTTAATACCCTATTTTTTTCTTCTACTTGATTATGGTTGAGGAAGTATTCATAGGAGTAATTTAGAAAAAATTGATAAATATGATAAATGGATTTTATATTTCGAACTAAAATCAATTTAAAAATTGGATCATATATTAAGGATCGGAGGAGTATATTTTTTCTTAGATAATCATGTGGAGCTTTCTGTTTTCCTTGATTTTCGAATATAGAATTGCATGGTCTTGGTTGGTTCTTGGCTTGCATTTGAATATTGTCTTTTAAAAAAGGGTTTGTTGAGGAGGTTATTTTAAACGAGGAGGTTTTTGGCATCTAAAAAGCACGTGTTTATTAGTATTTTATCTCGTATATATAATACACACACGTATACACGTTACTTAATAAAAGGGTTACAAGAAGGGAGATCAAGCCTCAACAAAACAAAAGGCTAGGAGCAGTGTGGCTGTTGCTGTCGGCAGTGAAAGAAAGCTCCGACGAATGTATTGATACCGGAAATGTGCCAGGAATGAATGGTTTGGGCCCAAGACTCGTAAAGTCGAGAGAAACAAATGACTTTTTTTTACCCTGAAAGAAAAAAGAAGAAAAAGATGATAAAATACCTTAAAAATTGTCAAAGGATAAATCAATATAGTTGAATTTTAAAATCTCAATTCAAACTCCCAATACTATTTTAAAATTTTAAAATATTTCAAAATTATATAAATGCTTTTTACTACCACCTCAGTATCTTCAATCAGTTTCTGGCCACCAGAACTCTAGCACTGACGATCCAACCAGTGGCTTGCTGTCAGTTCTGGTGGTCAGTCGCCGCAGCTTCAGTGACTACTATCTTTTTTTAACTATTGATTACATTTGTTTTTAAAACTTAGATAACTATTTTTGTTTAGTTATCGGTTATTCTAATATTGTGATTGGCTACTTTCATTTTTAAAAAAATTGGTGACTAATCTTATTTAGTTATTAACTACTATTGTTTAGCTATTGACTACTGTTATTTTAAAAAAAAAAAAAAAAAAATGTATTAAGTGTCGTTAGAGATCTAGTGACTACTTTTTTGTCTAGTTATTTACTACTTCGGTCCTTAATATAGGACCTAATTGTTGAGTTAGTTTTGGTCCTAAATATATGACTTATTTCTCGTATTTATCAATTTTCTCTAAAGTACTCCTATGGATACTCTCTCAACCATAATCAAGTAGAAGAGGAATAGGAGGTATTAAAAAAAATGATTATGGTATTTTAAGAAAAACGTGTCACATTTCTTATAATTAACTAACTTGCCTAACTTCTTTAATCTAATCAAATTAGTTAAATGGGTCTTATATTAAGGACCGGAAGAGTACTTACTATCTTGTGTAGCCAATAGTTATATCAACATAGTCACCATAATTTTTAAAATAAAGTAGTCAATAATTAAACTATAATAAATAGTTATATGAAAGTAGTTACTAGAAGTATGGGTAATATTATCATCTTATAATATTTCAAAAATCTAAAATGATATAAGGGATTGATTTAGAATTTTGATATTCACCCATCCTCATTTATCTTTTACTTTTTTTTAAGGGTATTTTAGTATCTATTTCTCAAAGAAAAAACGGAGGATATTTTCTGAAAGTGGTGCTCAAGGAAAAGGGCGTGTAAGAATTGAGCAATTCTTTTTTCACATCGGGTGTTTGAATCCCCCGGGGGGGGGGGGGGAGAGCGTTTGGAGTAGCGTAATTTTACAAAATTCAAAATAAGTATATAAAATAAATTTTATTCTAATTTACGTAAAAACATTTTTAAAGCACTTTTAAAGCCACTTTGAAAGCTCCCAAACTCTTTCCCTTACTTTCCACCTTCAATTTCTACATTTCTCCCACAAAAATCCTATCAATTTTAAATGTCATCGGTTCATCAATCATCCATGGATGGGTGGGAGAGATGGAGAGGGAGGGAAAGCATGAGTTGAAATTGATTCCGGAGAGATGATGACATGTGGCGTGATTGAGGGAGAATGGATGACTGAAGTCCGTTATAATTAATTCGACAAAAGACAGTCCATTTTAATTATAATTACAACTTTAATATTTTTAATTTCTATAAATAATGGCTGGCATAAAAATTACTATTAAAAAATACCAAGAAAACTGGAAAAAAAACTTTATGAAAGTGAAGATCAAATTTTTGGCCAAAAAAAGAGAGATCAAATTGAAATTTAGTACTACCTCCAATTTTTAATAGAAAAGCTACTAGATTAATTTGAGTAGATTAAGAAAGTTCGTTAAATTAGATTAAAGATTTATTATTAATAGATATGATTAAATAGCTTTTTTTACTTGTAATACTAGAAAAGTATGCATTTTTGGTAGCTTTTTATAAAGTATAAATTATAAATGTAGTTTAACATCTTAATGATTTAAATAAAGATAACACTAGTATTATCTCATGTACTTAATATGAGAGTCAATTGATTAATTTGAATAAATTAAAAAAATTAGTTAAATTAGTTATTTGTAATAAATAGACGTTATATTTCTTAAAATATTTTTATTCATTAAGTGTATAGACTAGATTTATCTTAAAAAAAAAAGAATAAATAATGAGAGACAAAATATATTAAGATCTTACATTTAATATTAAAATAAAAGTTAAATAAGTTTTATATTAATCACTGGAGGTGACATATCACATAAAATAATAGAACAATTTTTTTTCATTTCAATAATAAAACAGTTTTAACACTTTCTTTTGGCCAACAAATAGTCAAATAGTTTACAATTAATATCTTACATGAAATATTTAAATTAAATATTAAAAATGCAAGGTATGACTAGGCTAAAAAGATCTCACCATAATAATTTGAATTCATGATTAAGGCAGTGATCATTATTAAGTCACTATTCATTTAATAATTGTTTAATAATTTAAAGCAACGTTCTCAAAGACTTTCGGGGCTTAATTCATTATTGAATTTAATTTTTCTGAGATTATGCATGTTCAAACTTACATGCCAATTTGAAATCGCCTTCAACGGTAAAAAGGAAACGACCATGTCATAATAATTTGAATTCTCTCTCCCCCGTACTCACTCACGCTCCCAGAGCAACTTTGAATACTCCGTCCCAAGGCGTCCGTCGCCTGCTTCCCTTTCCAATTTTCTCATCGCCTTCGGAAATGGAACAGGGAAGGAGCATTATTTTTTGATACCGAATTTTGATTCTGATTCTCACGCTTTTTCTTCTCTCTTTCCAATCTGCATTTTTCATCAATATCAGAAATAGAAGGAAAATTCAATTCAGACACAAGCAGATATAGAAATGTCGAGCCATTGGGGAATTCTTGTTTCAGATCCCGGGCTGCAAAATCAGTTTACTCAAGTTGAACTTCGCAGCTTAAAATCCCAAGTGTGTCCATCTTCGTTCCGATCCTCTGTTTTTTTATTGGCAGAAAAGTGCACGAGCTAACTTTTACGTCTCATTCATGCATGCATATTATTTCGCTATGGTTTATCCTGCATGTTTGGATTTCTGTTACTGTTCTCCTGTTTTGATCCTGCGGACTGTAATAATTGTCTAAGTTGGGTGTAGTTCATGAGCATGAGGAGAGAGAGTGAGAAGCTCGCGATTGGGGACTTGGCTTCCAAGATGTCAAGATTAAAAGTGTTGGGAGAAAATCTGAGTGAGGAGGAGAGAGCTGCTTCTATCAAGGATTTGTATAAGAACGTACACGAGGAGGTGGATTTTGAGGCATTTCTCAAGGTGCGTTTCGTCATCTTGGATAGCAACGTTTTAAGCTCGCATATCATATACGATTTGAGTGCTAAGAAATAGCCAAATTGATGATAGGTGTACTTGAAACTACAAACTGTTGCAAGTTCCAGAATAGCGGGTAGTCCAAAGAACTCCTCGGCATTTCTGAAAGCTGCTACCACTACCTTGCTTCACACAATCAGTGAATCTGAGAAGGCATCTTATGTTGCACATATAAATAACTATCTTGCTGAAGATGAGTTCCTCAAGAAATACCTTCCCATTGATCCTTCAACCAATGATCTCTTTGAAATTGCAAAGGATGGTGTTCTTCTATGGTACGATGTTTGTTCATTAGTTTCTTATTTTGCACTTCATGAAAATTCTGTTTTTAAAAAGAATTGCACATTGTTGCAGTAAGCTTATCAATGTGGCAGTTCCGGGCACAATTGATGAACGAGCAATCAATACTAAAAGAGTACTCAATCCATGGGAAAGGAATGAAAATCACACGCTCTGCCTCAACTCTGCCAAAGCAATTGGATGTACAGTAGTCAATATCGGCACCCAGGACTTCATCGAAGGACGGGTATGTTTTTTCGCCTTTGCAATTTTTATAAGTACCAGCAGCATTGTTAGATCAGTTCGTAACTTATGTATATACTATATTTTCATGATGTGATACATTATAATTCGTATTTTCTTCTTTTGTCCTTGTTTTGCATTTTTATTTGACCTAGTCTGATTGCTTTTGAATTTTTTTCAACCCAGTTGAAGTAATTCCATTTTTTTCCTTGGATTTCAGCGTCATCTGGTACTTGGATTGATTTCACAGATTATTAAGGTAAATTCACGTGGGTAAATGAAGATTTTCATTGTGTGCTTTATAATTTTTCAAGATTTTGTCATATTATATGAATAGATCTGGAATATTATTTATTGATGCAAAATATGATGCTCCTAATAGATACAATTATTGGCAAACCTCGACCTAAAGAAAACTCCTCAGTTGTTGGAGTTGGCTGATGATAGCAAGGTAAAGATTTTCTTTCACGGTTGTCCATTAAATTGAATGAACTAATTGAAGAATTGTTTGTTTTATATGTTTTTCTGTTTTTAAAACTAACAGGACATGGAAGAGTTAATGACCCTACCTCCAGAGAAAATGTTGTTAAGGTGGATGAATTTCCACTTGAAGAAAGCAGGGTACACGAAGATAATTTCTAACTTCTCCTTTGATGTAAAGGTAAGTGAGAAACTATACATTAGAATGTGTTCATAAACTACCCTTTACAGAACAGCCACGTTTTTTCTGACCCCCACCACTCAAGGTACACATAGTTGTTTTTCATCCACTTGGTTTTCGTGGGGATTTTTTTAGGATTATGTAGGATTCTTCTGCTGTATACTGCTATGTCTTAGGTTCAAACATAAGTAACTTGTACGACTTAGGACGTACAAGAAATTATCTTATCCGACTCCAATCAGTATTATGAAGAAATAATTATAACCAACTTTTTAAACATTTATTGTACTTATCTGGTGTTTGAGTCTCTGGTTTTGAACCTGCAGGATGCTGAAGCTTATGCTCATCTTCTAAATGTCCTTGCTCCAGAGTACACCAATCCATCAACATTTGCTGTCAAAAATCCTTTTGAAAGAGCAAAGTTAGTTCTTGAGCATGCGGAGAAGATGGGCTGTAAGCGATACTTGACTGCAAAAGATATAGTTGAAGGTTGTCAAAACCTTAATCTTGCTTTCGTCGCACATATTTTCCAGAATAGGTGAGAATCTTCTAACACTATGGTATACGTGTATAATAGTGAAACTATTGCCCCAAGTTCTCTATTTAGTCTGTGCCACATGTATGTGTCAGCCCATCTGTTTTCATTCTTGACAAATTCTCCCACATTTTCAATTCATCTGATGGAAGCATTCTATCCAAAACACTTGCGCATTAGCTCGTACCAAGGGACAAGGTTTGGACCTCAAGTATTAGGTAGGACCTAAGTTTTTAAGAATTTGAGCATACTTCATGCCAATGTGTGCTAATATTAAGTGATTGTCATCGATTGGCCATATTTTTATGGCTTCTTGTGTTGTGTAAAGCGACGAAGGATCCATGCTTAGTTTATTAAAACACACAAAAGTTGTTTTTATCATACCCTGTTCTTCAAGGCTCTCTAGCTTGAAGCATGAAAACAAATGTCAATTTAATTAGAAGGGCGAGGGTAGGGAGGAAATTTTGACCTCTGAGAAGCTCTTATACCACATCGAGGATGTGTATTCTTAGAAGCTTAAGCTATCATGAGAAGTCCATGAAAGTTTCTTCCATCATCAATGCCGGTAAAATTTGAAAGATTCAACCGTTGCTAAGTTCTTTCAACTAGGCCTACCAGCTTATTCAAACATCAAGGGTCAATGAATGCAAGCTCACTCACTTTTTCCTTATAGGAATGGATTTTCAACCCAAATAACGCAGGCTTCTCTGCTTCAAACATTGCCGGATGACACCCAAGATTCAAGAGAAGAGAGAGCATTTCGCCTTTGGATTAACAGTCTGGGCAATTCAGCATATATCAACAATGTCTTTGAGGACGTTAGAAATGGGTATGCTCTCTCTACCATACTAATTTTTCTAATAAATATCGAACAAGAATTGGTTTGTTGATTTTCTTTTGAGATTATGCTTAGTTCACTTTAAAATTCAATAATTTTTCAAAGGATGTGTTTTTTAGTTGTGTTGGAATTAGGAACCAAGCGACTTTATAATTGATTTTTGTTGGAGATTAATTAGGCCTTAGCCAATCTAGATTAAGTCTTTTATTAATCATCATTTTATTTAATCTAATAAATGAGATATCATTAGATCACAAATAATATTCTATTAATGAAAAGGAGATTTTGCAAACCAACATGGTATTAGAGCGTGAGGCTTTATGAATTGGGATCTCCACTCATGTTTGGCACACTTGGTGCTTACCACACAACAACATTATCATTTCTTGACAACAATATACTCTAACTCAGGGTATAACAAGTGAAAATTTCCCAAAATTAGGAGCCATCAAATCAACGAAGACAACTACCTACAATGGTCTCGAAGTATGCCAATGTTCACAAAAGGAGAAAGGCCTAAATAGTGAGGCTACCCAACTACCACCTAATGATCCAAATTTTGGCACATGGTATACTGATAATTTCATAGGGACGGCATGGCTTGTCAACTTGATCCTACGTGTGATATCAGACTGAGGTCATAAGTTTGAATCCCCTATGTGTCATTTGATGGTGAAATTGTTGGAAAAGATGTGACTAATATCTCCCTTGTGATTCGTTGGGCACTGGCCCATGGCATCGGTTATTAGTGTAATCCCTTTTGCCCCTTGTTTAATAGTTATAGCTTTAGGCCTAGTGGTTAAGCTTGATACACCAACTGATGGCATCGGTTATTAGTGCAGTCCTTTTTGCGCCTTGATTAATAGTTGCAGCTTTTGACCTAGTAGTTGAGCTTGATATTACAACAAGTAGTACTAAGGCTACTTATAAGTTACAACAAAGCCTTGTGTGAAGATTATATTGAATCATGTAACTGGACGCCATTAAAAACCTGAAGATTGGGATGCCTTCTTGTTGATCATGGACTTGAGGGCGAGATTGTTAGGATGTTGACTTGACTTGATGTGGAAAGTCTTGCATGGATAATATATGGCTTAACAAGTGATACAATGATGTCAAGCCCACTCATATACTCTCTTTGCTCATGGCCCCAGTTGATCTCTTCCTCGTTTCACATAGTTCCTTATTCCAATCCCTTCCTAACAGCTACTACTTGAGCCTACAACAAAGCCTTACATAAAGACAATATCGAACCCTGTAACTGCATACCATTTGAAACCCAATATTGGGCTGTCGTGTGGGTAATCATGAATTCACATTCAAGGGAGGTATTGATAAAACTTCAAATGTGAGCAGATTTGATTTGATGTGGGAAATCTCCCACCAGATAAAATTAGATTTAATAAGCGACATATAAATGGAGTAACCTATAAATTCGCTATCTTAATGTTCTGTGTCAGAATATGGTGTTGAACCCATTTATTTGCATCCTTTCATTGCTTATGACTCAATTGGTCTCTTTCTTCTTTTGATCTCTTACATTGTTGATATTTCTTCTCTCCCCCATTTTTGGTCGTTCCCGATTCTGATTTTATTGAATGCCTTTGTATCTTTTGATCTTTTAAATCATTGAGTTAGGTTAATATTTCTTATCAACAGGTGGGTACTTTTAGAGACCCTTGACAAGGTGTCACCAGGGATTGTCAATTGGAAGATTGCCAACAAGCCTCCAATAAAGATGCCGTTCAAGAAAGTAGAAAATTGTAACCAAGTTGTGAAACTAGGGAAACAACTCAGGTTTTCTCTGGTAAACATTGCTGGCAATGACATTGTGCAGGGAAATAAAAAGTTAATACTAGGTATGTTAACCTCCAAATTATTTTTTGTTACAAGGTAGAATCTAAATCCATTGTAAATTGAATGTATTCCAGCAATTTAAACTCTCACATTACTTCTACCAAATTTTCCTAGATTCAATATCTAAACATGTATTAGGAAATCTAGATTTGACAATGGCGTTTTTTATCTTTAGCTTATTTGTGGCAACTGATGCGATACAACATGCTACAACTTCTTAAGAATTTGAGACTTCACACCCATGGAAAGGAGTTAACTGATGCTGATATTCTGGAGTGGGCTAACCTCAAAGTGAGCGGCTCAAGAAGCCAAAGCCGCATGGATAGTTTTAAGGTATTGAATATCTATCTCTAATCCTTTCATCCAGAAATAAATTTTGGGATTGCTATTTGATACTGGAGGATGAATTCTTCCTGTTTGGTATATGATAAGGCATCATAAAAACGTCTTGATTATTATTCAAGATACCTTTTACTGAACTGCGTGATGACCTTGCAATGCATGTTGAGACCAACCATTTACAACTTGTATGTTCGTTTTCTGGCAGATGTTATAAGCAAGTCTGCATGGATTTTAGATTTGTGACAAATGGCATCTATTCAGGAATCTGAAATATTAGATTTTGAATCTTGGTTTCTCTACTGATTGTTACAATGTCTAATTTCAGGATAAAAGCCTGTCGAATGGAATTTTTTTCCTTGAACTTCTTAGTTCCGTGGAGCCCAGAGCCGTCGATTGGAGTCTTGTTAAAAAAGGAGTAACTGGTATATTTTCTTTCAACTCTCTTCATGTTCTACCTTTCTTTAATTAGTTGCAAGATGATGCCTGCTTTCAGACTGTTATTAGTCCCTCATTAAGGGTAAATTCTGCAACATCTAGATATGAATGGCATAATTTTTTTAGAATTCACTTCTCAATCTCATTACACAATCATATATTAGAGTTACGCAGTCATTGTCTTGTTTGCTTTGAAATTTAAGAACTTTTTTTGGCCGTAGTTTTAATTTAAATTTCTGCAAAAATGTTATCAATATATACTTGCGTCATGTAGACGAGGAGAAAAAGATGAACGCGACCTACATAATCAGCATTGCTAGAAAGCCAGGATGTTCCATATTCTTGTCGTAGTTTTACTTTTTTGAGGATTCACTTCTCAATCTCATTACACAATCATATATTAGAGTTATGCAGTCATTGTCTGGTTTGATTTGAAATTTAAGAATTTTTTTTTTCTTGCCGTAGTTTTGTAGTTTTAATTTAAATATCTGCAAAAATTTCATCAATATATACTTGTGTCCGTCCTGTAGATGAGGAGAAAAAGATGAACGCGACCTATATAATCAGCATTGCTAGAAAGCTAGGATGTTCCATATTCTTGCTTCCTGAAGACATCACTGAGGTAGTTGGAATTTTGATACTGTCTTTTCCTTTCCAACACATCACACAATGAGTTTTAGTCAGAATATTCAACTTTCTGTATTTGTTGACTATACAAATGGATTTGCCTTTATTAATAATCAAGCTCATAATTTCTCTATTTTGAACTTCATACATTTTCAGGTGAATCAAAAGATGATCCTTACACTGACAGCTAGTATAATGTATTGGTTCTTAAAACACCCTCTTGAAGAAAGGACATTGGGAACTTCGGACAGTGAAAGTGGGAGCCCTCTGGAGACTACATCAGATTCAACACTTGATGACTCTGATTCTGATTCATCCTTATAGGAGAAAGGGTTCACGTAAATGGGATTTTGGTGAATGAAATTCTAAGTTTGTATTTAAAATTTTTCATGATCATTGATCAAAAGATCAATGTTTGACACTAGGTAATTCAATGTATCAGGAGGAAGAATTTTTTTCTAGGGATTAGAAATCTTCATTGTTTGCCTTTATTTCAAATTTTATTCTTGTTAATTCTAAATTGCAAGTGTAATTGTAATTAAATTGTTAATCTGTTGAATCTAGTTTTATCCCAAAATCACACCACACTCATAGTCTGTTAAGCTATGGTTTCCCAAGTAAAGATGATCAGCCTTCAATTTTATCCACAAATATATTGAACTAACTTTTTTGTAAAAATCCATCCGATAATGTATAATGTGGCTTATGTCACCTGCTTAGTTTTCCGCTAGCATATATGGCATGCGTGAGGAGGACGAATGTTGCACAACCAACCTTATATACATGTACTTTCATGCTCACGAAATATGAATACTAAATATTTTCTCACAAAGTATTATTCTGATTCTGAATATAAAACCTATTTTGTTACTGAAATAGATCCTTTGAAGTTTAAACATGTTGGAGTCAGTTGCCCAAAAAAAAATGGAGTTAATGAAGTTGTATATTTATTCTCAGTCACTTTGCAGCGTACAAAGTGCATAATTGGTATCTAAGTCGAAGGTCAATCGTAATTGACCAAATTCTACTTTTTCTCAGGCAAAGACATAACCCTGAACCTCATTCGGTAGTTCCCTAGCGAGTAGTAAGTAGTGAGATTCTGAGTGCAAAAGAACAGTGCATGTACAAAAGCAAGGTACGAGCATTTGGAAGCAAACAAAGCACGTATGCATTGTATATAACAATTTGATAGAAAGATGAGTTGAAACCCTAAAAAAAAAAAAAAGAAAGAAAAAAATCACAAGAAACGTTTTTCCATATTCCCCTCGAACGAATTCTTTCATGGTCCGCTAGGATCCCTAAAAAGCTACTACATTAGATTACAAAGACAAAAAAAACAAACTTTTCACACTACACAGCATGCATTCAACAATTTCCAGCCTGACGGCTCTCATCTATTACCATGTAAAGACCACAAGAAGTTGAGTGAAGGATGACAAAATGATGACCATATTGTTCATGTTGCCTCAAAACTGCATGAACCTCTTGGCTCTATTCTTCCAGTAGATAAGTAGGTCATAGCCATCATAAACTCATACAATCATCCATGTCAAATGCCGATACCCAGCCCATTTGGCAGCAACACGGATACCAATTGCTAAAGCTGCAGCGAGCAGTGGAATTGGAAGCCTCCTCTTTGCTGTTCCAACTTCAGCAATTTCTTTTCCTTCTGAAAGCGTTCTTGAATGGTGAGAAATAGCCAAGGCGGTAAAAGAAATCAACACAAGAACTCTTATCCAAGGCTCGCCAATGGCAGCAAGTACAGCTGCAACAGGCATTGTGGACGATACATCGTCTCTCTTTCTAACAAGTCGTGAAAAACCATACAGCCCCACTAGTAGTGTCCAGAAAAAAGGTTCTGAGATATAGCCTTTAACCGCGGCATAGCCAATTAGGCCTGACACAGTCAACACATACGGTTGGCTGTTGATGCTATTAGGGACAGTAGCTTCTGCAACAGCTAAAACAATTGATGCCAGCACAATGATGATGGTGAGATCTGGTACCGGAGCATACGCAACTATCCCAGAGTAGAAAGCTCGAATTGTGTAGAATACATCCTCAACAAGTCTAATAGAGAAAGTGATAGGATCCCCAATGAAATGGAAGATTACGGCCAAAATATATTTGAAGACATATCCCATGAAACGAAAAATACCAAGAGCAGCGTTCCTCCAATTTGATAGTTCAAATAAAACAGCTCTCCAAGCATAAATAAGGAAAGCCAGTGCTGTAAATTGATATTTAATCAAAACATGTTAGTGTGCATATAAAAGAGAGTAGTTCAAATCTTCTCCTGTTAACACATGAACAGGATGTCATCCAATCACACACACACACACACACACAGAGCTGGGGTGAGAGGCTTCTAATTTAAAAAAGTTGCTCATTTTTATTTTCCTAAAACCTAATACTAGAGCATCCTCCACAAAAGAGGATCTGAATTTAAAAGAGAGAAGAGCTGTCGGGTCACAAGTTCCCAAATGGCTACACTAGGACATAGAACTCTTGAAGTCATAACTTCAACAAATCAAGGTTTCCATATTGATGCAGAGAAGCAACATCAAAGGACGGAAACACAGGCATACATGGTGCCAGGATGCCAGGTATGCGTTAACAAAGTGATAAAAATAGTTTATAGATGCAATTTAACTTCTTTCTCTTGATCATTTCTCTGTCAACGAAAATAAAAAAAAAACAGACTCATTTCAATATAATGAAATGAAGATGAATCAAGTACTATAATATTTCCTATCAATGTGAAGAATCCTTATTTGCATGAGATCTATTTAGAAAGAAGATACAAGCATGTCTAAAATGTTCTGAAACATTAGAACCGAATGTCAAAAGCACACTTACTAAATCAAAATTTAGTGCTCCAAATAATTTCATCCATCTTCTAACATGTCTTTATTGCACAAGAACATATTGCATCATTCCATACATCCATTCATAGAAGTTCCAGATGGAAACAGCGGTATTTGATCCCTCTTCCCAGTAAATATGAAGCAATAGAGGCTCTCTCCCTCTCGCTTTCCACACACACACACACCCACAAACATAGCAGTAAAGGCCAAATGCTGAAGCATGCCAAGCTATGCCACTACATTATGAAAGTAAAGAAATTTTCACGTTTTCCAACATCCTAATATCCACCACCGTCCAATGAAATCTTCACAAGCCAAACCCCTTACCCATAAAACTGTAATGATCTACCATTTGCAGATATTCTAAGGAGGGGAAGATTTCAATTTTCAACACCACGATACTCGATAAAATTACTGTACAACAAATTTGAAAACAGTTAACTGAATGGCCTAAGTTCGTTTCTTTTATCCTTGATTCAAGCATTCTTGTCATGAACTAACGCATAAAAGCGAGCATAGTCGCAAAGAGATGAAAGGAGAGTAAAAAACGAATGACTAACCTACAAACCACGGCCACCGAATAGGGGGTTCAGGAGCTTCTTTAGTCAAGTACCTAAACCGCTCAGGCATGGTACTCTGGGCTCGAGCTTCCTTCTCAGCCTGATCGAAGTCAAGGCTAGAAGCTTCGCTAACTCCGTTATTAAGCTCCCTTTCGTTGTCCCTTGCGTTCACAGAAACCCCTAGATGCCTCCCCATCGAAAATCTAGGTATTTTACCTGAAATCCCAATATAATTCCATCTACACTGACCCGTACACGCTCGGGTTGCCGTCGGAAATGAGGCATTTGAAATTACAGCGCGGCCTATACGGACATGTGGATGGGAAAAGGAAGAGACTGTGACTAGAGGGGCATGGCGCTTGAAGGAAAAGCTCGGAGAAGAAAGAGCTGGTATTGTAATCGGCATGAAGAAGAATGAGTAGGGAGTTCAATGAAGATGAGCCAAGCCTTAGTGCCCTCAGGAGGAATATTCACTCCAAAAGCTCACTAGAAATATTTACTGTTAATGACGATGACATGATGATAGCAATGAACCAAGGACACGGGCTGGACTTCAACATGAACGGTGGCGTCTCTCACGTATGGGCTAGACCGCTAAAGTAGCTACCAGCAACCCCCTCCCTCCCTTTCTTTCTTTTTTGCTTTTTGAACAAAAAGTAGCTGCCCGTTTTCAAATTCCTAGTTTTTATGTCTCATTTGAGCAAGCTAATGAGTCAGATTAGAGTTAACATGAAGACCAAATCAGTAAAAAGAAAATTAAAAAAATTGAAATTTTTATTATAACATTCAAAGACTAAATATCAATTCAATACATTGAATTCGTAACAAAATAATCACATACTTAGAATTTATGTTCAACCTTCTTCATAATTTTTTTGACAAATTGAAATCATAATCTCGTACTACTAAAATCACTAAGCATTTATTGTATCAAAATATTAAATTGTTGTAAAATAAAGGAAAAATCATCAAAAAAGACTGCCGAAATAAAAAGAAATTACAAATAGGGACACATGACAACATTAGTATGTGTTTTGACAATAATTATCGTAAACAGGTTCCTATGTACAATTTTTCTATTTTGGAAGTTTTTTTTTACAATTTTTTCTAAAACAAATGATAGAATATACAGGAAAAATAGAGAACACAAGAGAGTATTTCTTATTCTATTTGAGGTACTCAACATATGATACAGACCCTCTACTTATAGGCATAACTTTACATCTTCAATAGAATCTACAGATTCCATAATAATAGAAGATAATTGTGGATAAAGGGAGATAATGATAGATACATGGACATCCACAAAAATATTATATTCATAACATTCAACCTTAGATGTCCATAACTAAATATGTGCCTCATTAAAAAAAACTTATGCTAAGAAAACCTTATGGAACAAAACCTAGTGGAAGAAAAAGGCTGCAACATTTACTGATATATTTTATGGTGCTGCCTCGTTAAAAACCTTGCTAGAAAAACCCAATGGGAAAAATCATAGACAGGGAAAAAATAGTACATCATGCATTTACTCCCCTTTTTAACAACGTCAATTGATGTCTCTGAGTCTGTGAAGCTCAATGTCATGAACAAGCCTCTTGAACGTGGTGGTTGGAAGTGATTTGGTGAACAGGTCTGCTAAATTTTTATTGGAATGAATTTCTTGAGTATTAACTTCACCGTCTTTTTAAAGGTCACGAGTGAAGAAGAATTTTAGAGAGATATATTTTGTTCTATCTCCTTTGATGTACCCTTCTATTAGTTAGGTAATACATGTAGTATTATCTTCGTATAAGATTGTTAGGATCATTTTACCAGAACATCAGTCACAGGTATTTTGTATGTGGTGTATTAAGGATCTTAACCATATACATTCCCGACTTATTTCATGCATCACTATAACCTCTACATGGTTAGATGATGTGGTTGATATAGTTTGTTTCATAGATCACCATGAAATGGCTATGTCACTACATGTGAATAAATAGCTTGTTTGTAATTTACCAACATGTGGGTCAGATCAAAATCCAGTATCTGCATAGCTAAGAAGATCAGTCTTGGGTGGATTTGAGTAAAATAATCCCATGTCTATTGTACCCCTAAGATAACGAAAGATGTGTTTAATTAAATTCCAATGCATTCATGTTGGTGAAGAACTATATCTTGCTAACAAATTAAATGCAAATGATATATCAGGCCACATATGATTTGCAAAATACATTAGTGCTCCAATTACACTAACATATACTTCTAGACCAAATAGTTCTTCATTACCCTTTTCTCTAGTTTCTTGAGGTCTAAAAGAGTCCTTATCCACCTCCAAAGATCTTACAACTTTTGGAGTACATAATAGATGTGATTTACACATATAAAAACTTTTTAGAACTTTTTTGTATAAGTTTCTTGGTATACAAAGACTCCATTTTTCAAATACTCAATTTGTAATCCAGGATAAAATTTTGTTCTTCATAGGTCTTTCATTTAAATTCTTTCTTAGGCAATTCACTGCCTTTTCAAGCCCTTCAAGAGTTCTAATAATATCTATATCATCAACATAAATGGCAATTCACTGCATTGGCATATTACATCATTTATATATCCTTCCTTCAAGAGATACTAAGCTGGTTATAGCATATACGTCCTGATTGCTCTAATCCATATAAGGATTTATTTAACTTGATTGAGTATCATTCTCAAGAGTTTGAATTGTAAGCTTATGGCAACTTTAATCTTTTAGGGAGTCTCATGTAAATGTAATTATCAAGTGAGCCATATAAATAAGTTGTAATGACATCCATTAGATGTAGATTGAGCCCTTCATTTACTGCGAGACTAATCAAGCATTGAAAAGTACTTGTATCTACTACTGGTGAATGTTTCTTCAAAATCAATACCAGGTCTTTGTGTAAACCCTTGGATAACAAGTGGTACCTTATATCTAATGATTTCATCTTTTTCATTTCTCTTTCGAACAAAAACCCATCTGTATCCAACCGATTTTTCATCTTTAGGTGTAAGGACTATCAATCCAAAAACTTTTTATTGTTCGAGCGATTTTAATTCTATCTCAACTGCGTCTTTCCATTTTAACCAATCATTTCTTTATTTGCATTCACTAAATTGACTTTGGTTCATGATTCTCATTATTATTCATCACATCAAGCGCTATATTATAAGCAAAAGTATCATTGATATCGATTTCATTTCAATCCAATCAAATCCCATTCATAACATAATTGATTGAGATCTCATCATTTTCACATATTTCAGGTACCTAACTTTTTTTGAGAATGGGGACGTTAGCATTTTTTAGTGACTCCTCTGGAGTGGTTAACTTTTTTAGGTTATTCTTGACTAGCTCATCTATAATTTTAGCTTCTTTTTTCTTTCGAGGATTTTTATATTTGGAACTGATAGGCCTGCCACTTTTCATGCATGCTTTAGAATAATTCACAATTGGTTGTCCACTAGGGACATCAATTTTGATAGGAGCATTAACAGCTAGAATATGTGACTTTGTTACTCTCTTTGAGTTGGTAAATGAGTCTGATTGCCAAATTTTGTAAATAAAATATCTTTTGAACTTCTAGTTCACATTGTTTTGTACGAGAATCAAGATGAGATAGTGATAATTCTTTCCTACTAATATCCTTTTTCAACTGCTTATTTTCTCCTCTCAAGGCTAGGAAAACTGACTCATTAAAATGACAATCGGCAAATCAAGCTGTGAATGAATCTCCTATTGATGGTTCTAGATACTTTATTATAGTAGGAGATTTATATCTAATATAGATTCCCATACTTCTTTGAGGACCCATCTTGGTATGTTGTGGTGGAGCAGTTGTAACATATACAACATATCCACAAATCCTTAGATGAGAAATATTGGGTTCCTAACCAAAAACCGATTATAAAAGGGAGGACTTGAGATAACTTGTTAGCCTAATGAGAATTAACATTAATGCATGGAAAATTATATGTCCCCACACTAAAATTGGGAGATTTGATCTCATAAGTAATGGTCTCGCAATTAATTGAAAGAGTTTGATCAATAATTTTGTAAGTCCATTTGTGTGTACACATGAGCCACAAGATATTCAACATCAATCCCAAGAGACATACAATAATCATTAAAAGCTTGGGAAGTAAATTCACTAGCATTATCAAGACGTATTTTCTTAATAGGAAAATGTGTTTTTAATCTAATTAATTGAGCCAATAATCTTGCAAACACCAGGTTGCGTGAAGATAATAAACAGATATACAACCATCATGTTGATACATCAATTAGAACCATAAAATATCGAAATGGTTTGCACGGTGGGTGTATCGGTCTATAAATATATCCTTGTATGCATTCTAGAAAAGTGAGAGGCTCACTTTCTAGTGTTCCTTGTGACGGGTGAATAATTAGCTTTCCCTTAAAACATGAATTACATGAGAGAAAAAAATTAAATTGTGGTATTTGTTGACTTTTTAATGAATGTCCACATGAATTTTCAATTATTTTTCGCATCATAATTGTCCCAAGATGGCCTAACCAGTCATGCTAAATATTGAATTTGTTATCATTTGTAAACTTCTGGTTTACAATGGCACAAACTTCAATGGTACTAATAAACGTGTAGTATAAGCCAAAGAAAAATGCAGGCGATCTTTCTAGTGTACATTTCTTACTAGAGATTGACTTTGTGATAGCAAGATATTTTTTATTTTTCTTAGTTGTTCTTTTGATATGGTATCCATTCTTATGGATATCCTTGAAAATCAACAAATTTCTTTTAGACTTAATTGAGTAAAATGCATGATCAATGCATAATATTGTTCCTCTAGGTAACAATATAATGGCTCTTCCAAAGCCTTTAATCAACTTTGAACTTTCAGATGTAGTGTGAACATTAGCTTCTTACATTACCAAATAATAGAAATATTTCTCATTTCTAAGTATTGTGTGCATTGTTACACTATCAACGAGACATAAATCTTCATGATTGATGTCAATATGAGCCATTTTTCATAGCAAAAGAAAAGAGGAAAAAAAAAATTAATCCTTTAATATTAATTTGAAAAGAACAAGTGTGTGTAACTAATTAATCATTTAATAATAATTTTGTAATAAACTCTACTAAAGCTAAAATAATAAAATCCGGTCGTAATGATTGGATTATTTCAAAGGCGTAACCATGATGTGGCTGCCCTTTTTTTTTTTGGACAAAAATTTTGGCTAAATCTATGGATTAGTACTCACTATTTATTTATTATTTTTTAGATAAAATATTAAAGCAAAAGAAAAATAGAAAAGAAGGGAAAATATATAAAATTAATGAAAAGAAAATACTCATAACTTTTATTAATTTGAAAAGATAGCAACATTGAAAGTGAAAACTTTATTGAGGTACAAGAAAGAAAGATAAACTAAAACATAGATATTAAAAAGAACACACTTAGTCATAGAAATTGAACTCTGCTAAGATAGATTTATTTTTGAATGATATTTCCATCACCAATTAGGTGCTCAATC